TGCAAGGGAATGAAGCCCAGTGAAGCCAATGGAGCCAGAAGAGTTGGGGACCCCTGACAGGTCACAGCAAGTCTCTGACACCGCAAGATCAGTGGCTCCAGGGAGCGGGGAGCCAGGCTGGAGAGCTGGCAGGGTGCGAGGAGGGTGCTGTGAGGATTTGGTGGGCAAAGGGAGGATGGGTGGAGGAGGTGAGCCTTGCAGCAGAGCCACCACCCATGCAAAACTGCAGTGACTCCAGAACCACCTTTTCACATGAACTACCTTCAGTTCCTGTCTTTTTCTACTTTATAATCTTGCAAAACATCATGTCTGCTCGGGGTCATGTTCAGCCAAAGTGCAGAGCTCAGCTGGAAGGTCCCTGATGGGATCAGAGCCTGAGCTCCATCAGGAAGGACGCATTTCTGGCAGCTCAGGCTCCTGCACTTGGGAAGGAAGATGCAGCAATCTGGGACCGGTTGGCCCGAGGAGACCACAGGAAGGATGTGTCTGATCCTCATGCTCCTGGGCAGTGTTTTGTGCATTTGCCCGTGTAGTTTTACAGGTGGTTTTCTCTGTTTGGGAATGTCACCTTCCATTTACACGGCGATAAGAGCAGGCAATGAACTTTATAGCTCTATTCTTGGACCAGACTCAGGGACTCACGGAACCAGAGCCCTGAGCTGTGGTCCCTCTCTCCAGAAAGCTACCTGCCCCCTTCCTTTCTGCACCCCCAGCATGTGGGTACCTGAGCCTCTGCCGAAATCCCCTCCTACTCTGGCAGAACAGGGTTGGGACCATAGAGCCAAGCCTCTGCTGAGCTGCACAGGGTGGCTCTGATGAGCTGGAGCTCAGGATGGAACTCAGGGCTGAGGAACATTGGGATGCTGAGGAAGTACCAGAGCAGCTCAGCGCAGCAGATGGGACATCCGTGGAGGAGTCAAAGCCATCAGCTACTTTGGGAATTGCACAAACTTGGATTAGCATCAAGAGACTGCATGAAACATTTCAAATGAGACATGCTGATGGAAACGAATGCACTTGGAGGAACAGCAAAGCCTGCCTGGCCCTAAAAGGGTTAAACAACCCTTCTATGAGCTATGGGGGAGATATTTCCCTCTTCCTTCTTCCTGCTTTCATTGCCCAAGGTGCACTTTGCATTAATTTTCTGTTCTTTTCTTCTCCTGTAGGAAACCCAACTCTCCAGAGGAGTCCGTAGGTTCCAACCCTGCTCTGCATTTCCAGACTAGACTAATTACCCGGATAATAGGGCAGAGCGCTGGGAAAGGCTGTGGTAAGGACATTTCCTGTGAGGCAAGGTTAGGCAGATAGAACGCCCGGAGCCAGAGGGTTTGGATCCAGCCCTTCTGGGAGACGTTTCTAATTTATTAGTGCTATTTTTTGAGAAGAAATTAAAAGGTTTTTAAATGAATGGAGATTTGCTCTTTCCAAGTGATTTATCTCCTTTGTCTGACGAGTGGAGGAGCTGGCAGGGGTGTGGATGGGGAGGGAGAAGTCAGAGAGATAGGAAGCAGTAGGGTCATCTTAGGCGGAGGAGATGGGTGAGGGCTGTGGGGCCTCTCTGAGCTGGTTCCCCACCACATTTGTGTCAGAGATGGGCTGGAGATGCCTGAACAACCAGAAGAGCAGCAGTTTTGGGGCAGATCATTGCTATCTTGGCCATAGCCCTGTGGCCTTCAGCATCATGGGCTGGGCTGGGGGAGCCGTGTTTGTTTCTCATCCCTGCCTTGCCCCAGGAGCCACCTTAGTCCTGCTGCAGGGTGGGGAGACAGGACGCTGCTGGGACACGGTTTTGCTCTCTGCCAACAGGGAGGAGCCCTACCCCCTGTTTTTAGTTCAGCCCAGGCTCCATGTATGTAGGGGACTTGGCCATGTCCATGGACAGGACCACTGGGAGGCCCATAGCTCTTACTTTTGCATTTCTCCCTTTGCTTCACCAGCTCAAGATCAAGCCCTGAGCAGGTGCTGGGGGATATGTGGTGGCTTTTGTTGCAGCCCAGGACACGGGTGGTTTCTGGGCTTGAGCACACACTGAATCCGGCTCATGTTCAGTTTCTCATCAACCAACACCCCCAAGTCCTTCTCCTCAGGCTGCTCCAAATCTTCTCCACCCAACCTGTAGCTGTGCCTGGGGTTGTGCTGACCCAGGTGTAGGACCTTGCACTTGGCTTGGTTGAACTTCATGAGTTGGCACTGGCCACCTCTCAAGTGTGTCCAGGTCATGTCATTGGGAGAGGGCTAAAAACCAGCAGCTTATCACCCTCCTCAACCATCTAATACCTGGTTTCTTCCCACAACCCTGCAGGGTTGCTCTGTGTCATGTCTCAGGCTTATGGGAACTGGTGAGAGAACCTCAGGAGGTTTCAAGGCTATTTCGAAACACTATTGGGACTGTGGCCAGAGCAGCTCCGACTTACTTCCCGCCTGCCTCCCAGGTTTGCTTCCCAGGAGGCTGTGGGGAGGGCTGGAGAACAGCCATGTCTTGCCCTGACAGAGAACCTTTCCTTGGAACCGCCTTCTCAGCCACACGCTGGTGTTTGACCGCTTAAAACCTGGTGGGTGATGAACATCAACCTGCCCCTCACCAGCACGGAGCTGCTCTGTACCCGGCAGAGCTGCAGCTCAATGCAAGGGAAATGCTGAAGTCATTCATCTGGCTTCACTTTACCTCCTTCTAGATTTGCTGCCCTCCTAAAACGTCAGGGCCAAGCCCTGCCCAAGAACAGAGATGCTCCACTGGGACCTGCTTTTGCAGAAAGGATGGGACCTGAAGTAGGGATGTGGTGTGAGTGTGTAAAAGCATCTTGCACACTGCTGAGACCTGCATGGAGAGATGGATGCTGGTTCTCTTCAAGTTTTGGCTGCATTGATAAAACCAGAAGTTTCCCTGTCTAGCTGGATATAAGAAGCAACATTTTCCTTAGGGAAACAGGTTCCTGCACCTAAAACTTCCCAGGCTCTGCTGGAAAGCCCAAATCAACCTGTTTTCCTTTTAACTTCTTCAACTATTGTGCCTGGTTTGTAATCAGCATCTGGCCACAGAGACTCATTTTAGGAACCCTGGAGAAGTTTCGGTCTTCACCGAACTCACCATTGTGCTGTTTTCCAGGAGGTAACACCTACAGGGTAACTGGGAGCACAGTTTGGCCTCCACAAGCCAAGTGCTCTCAACAGAACGTAATCATAATTGGAGTTAAAGGGTATGTGCAGAGCCTGTAATAGTCTCCACATGCACAGGAGCTGAGAGGTGGAAGGTGGATGCAGCTCGAGAAGCTTGGCTGGGCTGTTGCAGCCAAATGCTTGGCTGTTTTTTGCCACCAAGCTTGGCCAGCTGTGGTCAGCAGGACAGATGAGAGCTGGACGTCAACAGGAGGGGGATGGCTCCACTTGCAGGAGCAATGAAAGTCAGTGGCTTGAAATACTTGCTGGCCTGGAGGTGAGAACGAGGCCAAGAGGAGCAAAAGCCACCTCATTGTCTCTTGAGGATGCTCCAGTGTGATCGGATGTGGAGGAGTCTGGAGATCTTGTCCACAGCCCCATGCAGGCAGCTCGTGGAGGATGGGGGCTGTGGGATACTCACATAGAATCATAGAATAGTTAGGGTTGGAAAGGACCTTAAGAAGCCCTTTCCAACAGTAAATTAAGGGGCAGCCACTTCCCTGCAGCCCCATCCTGCTTGGGATGGGCAGCAGGGTAGCTTTAACCACCTTGGCTGAATAATGAGGTTGCTCTGATGCAGGCTGTGATGTTGCTGCATGGTCTGCCTGTGCCTACAGCCCAAACAGGGTTTTCTTCCACCAGCAAGTCCCCTTCTCCCTCCTGCAAATTGCCTGCCTTTGTGCAGCCTGGGTGACACGACTCTGCCTCCTGTACCCACCAGAAATGCCTGGGAGAAAGCTGAGCTGGAACAGTGATGGGGGAGATCTGCGGGTCACCACAGGAGGCAATCCAGCAGGATCCCTTCCTGCACCATCCCTGGCACAGTTCAACCTCTCCCCAGCTGAGCCCTTCTGGGTGGCCCCAGGATGTGCCAGTCTGAAAGTAAGAGACAATACATGTCATGGTCCTGCCCCCCAGGAGCGTGTCGAGGGACCAAGGGCTTGCCTGATGCTTCCACTCTCAAGCCATCACTGCTGCTGGCACCGTGCTGGGTGCAGAAGGGCCCTGTCTCTTTGAATGCTGGCAAGTGTCACCTCTTTTCGCCATGACCCAGACCCCCTAGGTCTCCTTGGCAAGGAGCAAGGGCCTGACTCTGACCCCAAGGCCTGCATGAAGGGACATGTTCTGCACAATTGAAGGCAACAGGCACCTCTTCCAGTCTTTCAGAGCCTTGATTTCTTTGCTTGCTTGCTGATGTTTCCTCCTAGGTCAATGCATGACACGAGACCCAAGTAATTCATACTGCAGCCAAAGGCGTGGTGTGTGCAAGGCAAGACCATCAGATTCAATTCTCTTTGAGCTCAGGGTGACCCATCTGCTGCTAATGAAGATGTGTCCTAGAAGAGAGTTCATTCCTGTTTTTTCTTTCCACCTGCCTCCTGGCAGACTACCTACCCAGCCATGCCAAAAACACGATGCCAAGTGACATGAGAGACCATCTTGAAGAGAGATTCTATGGGTTCTAGAGGATTTTACCAGCCTTGAACTCAAGCTGGCCCCTTGTTTTGGCCGGGTATTTAGGAAGCTTTTGGACCAGGCGAATTGGCGAGGAGGTGGAGGCAGGCATGGACGTCTGTGGATTGCACCAGGATTGCACCCAGAGCCCCCTCACAGACACTCGACCCTCCTGTGCAGCAGTAGCACAGTTAGAGCAGCTTGCACAGGCTCAGGGAGAAAGTCCAGTCTGCCATCACCCCATGGAGCATCATGCCTTGGGCATCTGCTTGCTGGGCTGGTGCCTGGTGAGGAGTGAACGTGCAAGTGGGGCTCTGTCCTGTGGGCAGTGCAGGAGGGGGTGAATAGACACAAACTCTTCAAGATAGACAAGAAAACAGGGGACTCACAGGGTTTCCAAGCTGTGCAGCCCATCGAAGCCGTTGGCTCCCAGGCTTTGGATCCGGTTGTTGTGCAGGTGCCTGTGGACAAAAGAGAGATGGTCAGTGGAGGAGCAAGCTGACCTTTCCTGCCAGCCTGAGCCCAGGGACATCCTGCAAGCTGAGCACAGCCTGGGCTGGGACAATGAGGGGTGTTGTAAGGTCTCCTCTCTTGCCCCATGAGACACATGCTGGGTGCTTGCAGAGTAGCTACAGAGCTTCTGTTTCACCCAGGAAACCCAGTTCCCCGAGACCTCCACTTTCACAGCTGCCAGGTGACTCTGGATGAACATGCTGAAGCAAGAAGCTTCCAGAAACACCCTACATCTCCCCCTATGCTGGTCCCAACCCTACAAAGTGCTGTATGACTTCAACACTTGTTGATGGGCACTGTTGAAAGACACAGGCATATTTGGACTCCTCAGAGCCTTTGTAGTGGCAAGAAGGCTTTGAGCTCAAAGTCATCCTGGTAGTCACAGTTTATTATCTTGCAATACATTGAGTTGCCAGTTCCTGGATTAGCTCCAGTTTGGTTGCAAGGAAAGTTGTCTCAGTTTAATGCATCAGGGGCCATGTGAGAGGCTGATGCACATTCTTGACACTAAGGTAACACTTTTTTCCCTTGTTCCCATTCATCGTGGTGCTACATGCCATGAATACCCAGTGCTTAAGGGCTGTGGAGCTCCCAGCCCTAATGCTGGTGCTGGAAAGCCATGTGCTGGGGCCACCTGGGGTATTTTTGCCTTGAAAGCTCTGTAGGGGATGAGTTCCTGGAGCCCCATCTGCCGGGTTTTCTGTTTTCATGGGTCCCTTACTCCCATGTCTCATTTTGTTCTGGCATATCAGGAAGACCCGGAGTCAGAAACTCTGTGTGTGTGTGTGCATCTGAGTGGTTTTGCCATCTGGCTTCCGTTACAGCTGGTGGGAGCTGTGTGGCTAATTGTGCATCTCCCTTTGAAATCCCACTCAAGGGCACCTTGGTGTCCATACAGAGAGCAGACTGAGGAGAGTCTGCTGGAAAACAGGAGAAGACAACCCTCTGCTGCCCAGGCTGCACTTCTCCCAGCCTACACTTGAGCACTTTATTATGTCCATGCTTGCGCTGAGATGCTCCTTGTGGGAAATGCCCACCAAGGACACAGGTCCTGTGGGACATGACACCTTTTTGATCTCTATCAGAGCAGGTTTCCCCACCAGTTCATTTTACAGTTTGGGTTCTCCTTTAACACTGAGTCCTGTGTGGTGAATCTGTTGCCACACCACTTGCCTCTGGGGTCCTTTCCTCCCTTCCCCATGCTCAAGGATGCACCAGCCTTTGTCCAACACTGCTGCCTCCTTCCAAGCGCCCTGGGGAGACTCCATGCTGGCAGATGGATCAATGACTTCTTCATTATTTGCTGCTTGATCTAAATCTGTCTCTGCTTGAAAAATCTCTCACTCCACCTGGATTCAAGCGTGAGCTGTTTGGCTGAGCACAGGCAGCTCCCACTGCCAAATATTCTAGGGTAAAACAGGAGGGAACTGGGAGTGGAGGAGCAGCCAGGCTCTAGGGCAGTTTGGTAGGGGCTTGCAAAACAGAAACCAGCCCAAGACGGATGTTTGTCAGTGGGATGAGAACATACAACCCTTTCAGAGGAAGGGGAAGGGAGGGGAAAGATGTGTGATAAAGTATGTTTGCTCCTTTGAGCAAATGGGAAGAAAGAAAAGGATGTTGCCTGCGAGAAAACTTGGTTTGATTGTGACTTTCAGAGGAGAAAAGAAGCTGAGATCAAAATCAGAATCTTACAGGAGCAATTTCTCCTTATCACAAGAAGAGAAGTTCGAGTCCAGATGATTTGCTCTGTCAGATACTATGGGTTAACTTCAGGTCGTGTTGTCCTTACTTCACTTGGCACTTCCAGTGCAAGATAGTACCAACCATTTTGGGTCCCTTTGAGCACTGGATACTGCAAGTAGAGGTTTTGGATCTGGAGTCATTCTGTAATCACAGCAAGAGGTACCACAGAAAACCCTCCCTCGCCCCATACCTCTGTCTGCTGCGAGGGGACAGTGTGGGGAGAAAGGGAATGCTGAATGCTGGGCAAGATGAGGAGCTTTGTCAGGGTGGTACAACGGGACATGCTGAGCAGTTGGGTGCTATCACTCGAGTCAGGCGACAGAATAGAAAAGCAGTCACCTCCTGTGTTTATATTTGGCTCTAAAAGTGCTTTGTTTGGAGGCAAAGTAATGAAAAATCATCAGAAGGAAGTTATTTGTTGGTGAGAAAATGATGAGCAACCAAAAAAAGAGTTATAAAAGGATTTGCTGCTCCAAGCTGGGCTCTGGAGCTGTTAACCAGCCACATGGCAAGAATAGAAGCAAAAGAGCTGGAAAGGTAAACACTTGAAAAGATGTTCCTTTCTTCCATCCTGCCTGGGGTTTTTCCTCCCCTGGTAAACAAATTTTAACAAGTGGAATTGCAACATCTCCAGTGTTTGTCAATTTGAGCTCAGCCCACAGATGTTATATTCTGCCCTGTAAATTACAGCTGGTTTGATAGCAACTCGAGATACTCAGATCTGGGCTATAAACAACCCTGTTGTGATGCAAAAACATGGGCAGACTTTAAGCCTATTGGAGCTAGTATCCAACAGTTTCTAGAAGGAAGATTTTCTGCCCTTGACAACAATTTCTTATCACAAATTGGGCGTAAACGTGATTTTTCCAAATCATCTGATTTGAACTGGTGAAAGTGGCTTTGGAAGGGTAAATGTGTTTCTGGTACCTGCATTGTTAACTGGATGTTGATCATTTGGGATGGGTGCAAAGAAGAGCAATAAAAATGATCCAAGGGCTGGAAAAAACTAGGATGGAGACTTACAGTGCTCAATCTGTTCAGCTGAATAAAACAGGATGACGAGTGCAGTGTAATGTATAGGATTCTTCCTAGTTAGAAAATGGGGACTAAAATGGTTCTGTGATTTAGTGGAGAACAGAATAAGAACAAATGTCTGAAGTCAAAGCCAAAGAAAATTCCAATGGGAAGTCTGAGCTTTTTTTTGACACTAAACATGGCTGGAAGAAACTACAAAGAGAAGTGGTGGATTCTCCATCGCTATCTTTTCTAATGACTTCATTTTTTCTTCTCAAAAAGGACAAATGCAAATAGTTTCCAGCCATTATTTGCATTAGATGATTTGAACCACGTTCAAATCTGACATGATACGAATTCTCCCACTGGACCAGCCAGTGCCATGATGAATTTCCAGCTCTATTGTGGCAATATTGTCCTTTCCCTCAACTTGGCCATGGATAAGTAAACTAAATCATAAATGGTGCAAATTCCCATGGATTATTTCTGGCAGTGAAGGAATAGCATGAGACGTGTCTGGTGAAGAATAAAGCTCCATCAGAAGTGACATTCTCAGGGGTGCCTTGGAGTGCTATTTGCTTCTTCCTCAAGTGCTGGAGAGGGAGATTCACTTTTGCAAGGCAGCAGGCTTGGTCCTCGGAGAGAAAAAGCACTTCTGCAAATTAAAAAGCCCATGAATGAGACCCAGATGTTCCAGGCAATATTGTTCTTAGTAATAACGAATTGCACATGCCTGGCACTCTCTGCCAGCACCAAGGTTCCCAAGAAGCTGTCGGAGAGGGACTTGTTAACTCCCTTGTACAGGTGACAATAGTGATGCACAGGTTTATCCTCCCCTGGAAAGCAGGGATGAGATGTTTGATGTTTGTTCCCAGACAGGGAGGACACTGGGAATCCATGGTCCACTCTGAAAGTTTTGGCCAGAATAACATCAGAACACAGACCAAAATCGGAATGGGAACCCAGGAGTCTTGGAAACTCCTTTTCTCCTCTAGTCACTAAACCATACTGTTAGAGCGGCATCATGTCCTTCCTCACATCATGCCCATGATAAAAACTGTAAGAAAGAGAAATTCTACTAAATATCCTTCATTTACTGTATTCAGATATCAACACATTCAGCTGGAAGGTCTTGACCTAGGAGGGAACCACTTGCAGGTGGGTGGCTTGTCCTCAACAATAAAACATCAGCTGAAATTTAGGTTGCACACATGTAAAGTGCTGTGGAAGGGAGGAAAGCCAGTCTTCTATGAGCATATGCAGTAATAGGCTTTACATATCTAAAGGAAGGGGGTGTTGGCGTTTAGTAGCTGTCAAAAAAGCAAATCAAATGATAGGGATGACTAGAAAGGAGGAAACGCGCTGCATAACAGTGTTAATGTCATTGTATAAACTAGCATTCATTTTTGTCTTTGCTACAGTGTGTGGTTCTGATCTCTCCATCTCAAAGCTGTGGAGGAACAAACAAGTGTGGTATGTAGAGTAACTTCGGATTGCAAACCAGCTAATTGAATGGGGACTGGAAAAGCTGTGATGAGGGAAGGGTAGGACAGACAGTAACGAACACAGAGATGGCATAGAGGGGGTAGAGACAAGAGTGCAAGAATCAGAGGATGTTAAGCCAGACTAACTGGTAGTGGCATGAAAACAACTTCCCCAGAGTCCTTGTATTTGAAAGACTTGTGTGCAGGTAGACAAGGGTCAGGCCAGATAAGGCAAGAAGAGCATCTTTTTAGCATTATGGGGACAAGTTAACTCACTGGCTCCAAGCTCACTGCATGTGAGGCAGCAAATGCTGGTTCCTTTTGACAGCAGCATCTTCAGCACCGCAGGAATGTTTGAGTAAGTCCATGTGAGATTTTACTGCAGGACTAGCAGACCCCTCTGGGGACCAGGGCTGAAAGAGGTGCTGTGATTCCTCTTTTGAGAGTTGCCTTTGCTGAATTCAGTCAAGAGAGGAGACGAGGAATGCTAACGAGAACTGCTGTCATGCACTTCATCTGCCTGTCAGCACAGCAGCATGGGGATTTCAGATGCTCACTTCTAAATGACAAATCTTTTTGCCCCAAGAAAGAAGATGCTTTTTGCAAAAAACCCCTTTGCTCGTGCAAATCATCAGCTGAAAAATACTCAGGACTATTTCTGCTTGTAGATGCTGAGACACATTCAGTCCCGAATAGATAAAACTTGGAGTATCCTATCAGTATCCTATCCCCGAGCCACCCTGATCAAACAAGCCGTCTCCCTTCTGCCATCAGCAGCTCAGTGCCAACATCACAGCACATGAAGCCCTTGTTATCAAAGCAGGGGAAAGGATGGTGCCAATTACCAAGACTCAGGTTTCATCATGAGTGATTTACACAAGGCTCTGCTTACTGAACACCCTGCAGCTCTAGTTAGAAACCTGCAGCAGCAATAGATGGGAATAAGATCAGTGAATTCCTCAACAGAGGTGTAATTTATTAGCAGAGACCGAACCCCTTAATTTATTCCAGATTGAGGCTTGTATATCCTGACGTTGGTGCTTTGTGTCAGTGCAGGATGATCACCCACATCTCTCCCAAAGGCCCAAGGTGTGTGGAGGAGGAAGAGCACATCCCTGCACCTGGGAAGGTCATGCCCTCAGCCATGGTCAGCTGTGTCCCTGAGCATCAATCAGGCTGTAGATGGGACATTCCCCTGTGCTCCTCCACATGTGCCCTTGGCTCTGATCCCCCAGGTGGTAATTTTAATACCTCTTCAGTTTCCTGACGTTTAGGGCTCTTCTTGTTCCACATGCACATTCAGACACTTGCTAGAGGAACGTGCATATGTATCCTCTGCATCCTGGTGGGGAAGGTGTCCTCACAAACTTTACTGCTCAGCTTGGTGGGCAAGTCTGAAGCAGGGAAGCATCCCTGGTGGGGTGCAGGAGCAACACTGGGTGACTTTCCACTGCCTGTGCACTACAAGGGTGTGCATGAAACCATGGGAGAGATTTATGGGACCAGTTCTGCCAAACACTTGCAATCCCACAAACATTTATCATCATGTCTCGCAGTGCCTGGCAGGATCACACATGTGTTCCCTTCCAATTGTCTGTGGTGGGACATTATTCTCTCCCTTGTGACCTAACGGCCAATGACTTTTATTTCTTGAGCTTGCCTGTTTAATTAAGGAGTTGCTTCTCACCCAAATCATGGGATAAGCCAGAAGGAAAGCAGCATGCTTTTGAGACTCAAAATAAAACCCCAAATGTCAGCTCACCCGCCGGGCTAGCTATTAAAGCTGAATGAAGTGGTTGCACTATGATGGTCATGGGATGCCTTGTAGAAGGGGCACTATTGTGGGTGAAAACTACTTATTTGACATTTCTCAAGTTGCTTTTAGCATTTCTCCTAAATAAGCCTTTATGCTTTGTCTAAACAGCTGAAGTTGATGCTTAATAAAACTCTGCACTGTGCTTTGCCCAAGCACTTTCTGTGCTAGATGGCTTTGGTAAACACTTTAAATTTTGAAAGCAAAATAATTGGTAAACTTTCACTAAGGCACCACATGCTGAGGTTGCTTAATACCCTGCTATCAATACATATTACAGAACTCAATGGTAGCACTTTATGTACATGTAGGAGCTCAAAAGTAGCTGGCAATCACACTTGAACTTGCTAATCAACACCAAAAAAGCACTGACTAGCTAATTTGCACATGTGAGCTTCCTTTGGAAAACTAGATAAGATGCAAGCCTCTGCTGATGGAAAGGATGCACCTCCTGATCTAACTGCCAAAGACATCAGCTTGTTTTCTGGCTGCAGAGTTAGTGTCTCACTGCCCATGGAGTAGACATTCCCTCCTGGACCAGGTATGTAGCACTGTTCCCTACATTGCTCTGAATGCTGCCAGTAACATGGACAACAACATGCACCACAGGGTTGTGATCACTGCAAAGAACAGCTGATCTGCAATAATACAGTCATGCAAATAAGCGTGCACAGACTGGGACAAGGTGCTGAGGTTGGACCTTCTGTTTGAAATCATGTTTGGTCAAAAAGTTTTCTTGGCATGGATTCCAATGAGCAAAAATGCTGGTTTGTGTTGGTAGAAATCCCTGTAGTTTTAACACAGGGATTGGAGGGAACATAGAAATGAGAAGCTTTTTGTTGCTCGAGTCTTCGGGTAAAAAAAATCTACTTTTTGTTTCCAGATACAAGGTTTTTTGTTTGGTTGGTTGTTTTTAAATGAAAAGATTATTATTTTTTTTTAATTATATTGAGTTTTTGGCTTTTCAGTGAAAAATGGAGAAAATATGAAAAAAAAAAATCAACCAAACCAGGCAATTTTAGCATTTCATCTCAAACAGCAGGGATTCCTTGTGAACAAAACCTCTGCCTGCTGCCCCTGCAGCAAAAAGCTGCTCCAGAGGGGTGACCATCAGGTCTACCCACATGAGGAGGACCCCGTTTGCCATGCACGGTCAGCACCTTGTCCCAGCCGGAGGATGCCGTGGCTGTGAGGGAGTAACAAGCAGAGAAGGCTTACAGCACCACGAGGCTGCTGAGGTTCTGGAAGGCATAATCGGGGATGTGCCAGATCTGGTTGAGAGCCAGGGTCATGGCTTGCAGCGCTGGCAGGTGGTTCAGAGCTTGGACAGGGATCTCCGTCAGGGCATTATCATCCAGCCATAGGTGACGCAAGGAGAGCAGCCCCTCAAAGCTCTTCTCGGGCACCACAGAGATAAGGTTTGCATCCAGGCGTCTGAGTGGGAAAGAAACAGGGTGGGGATGAGTGAGAGATGGATCTAGCGTTGCTTTATGTGCCCACAGTATTATGCAAAGGGAATTTGGATGCCGAGGCGGGATGGATTGATGGCCAGGAAGATTGGCTTAGGCTGTAAATAGTGATTAGCTTGGAGATGTTTGACCACTGCCAGTGATGATCCCTCCCTTCTTGATAGCCATTTAGTGCTGCCAACTAATGGCAGCTTCTTAAACAAGTGGTTGGGCTGAGTCCTTCCACATGGACCCACCAGATGGACATTGGCCAGCCATGGCTTGCAGGCACCCTCCTTAAAAACGAGCATCAAAGCTGCATCCCCTGGGGCTGGGCTTGCCATGGATCTGCCTGAGCTGATCTGCAGAGGCACAGCCCTGCTTGGGGTACCCCCCACGTGCTCACCCCCCCTGCTGCAGGACAGCCAAAGCGTGTGGCCAAAGCCTCATTCCCAAAGCAAAGGGTTTGTCTGGAAATGTGAAATATGTGGCAGCCCTGCTTGGGGTCCTGCCTTTGATCCAGAGCTACCTGCAACAGCACCGCGAGCGAGTCAGCCCATAGGTCATGGTGCAGGAATTAAGCCTGTGCTCACTGTATCACACATGTTCAGGCCTTTCTTTCTCCTTGATTTGCCAATTGCTTTTTTCTGTTTCCCTTATTACACCGAGGAAACCTTAAGGGGGTTGAATTTGAGGTTTAATTTGGTGAGAAACTGTAATTTTTAAGACTTGCTTTAGTTCCCAAATAGATCGAGAAGCCAAAAAATATCAAACTTATTATGAAAAAAAAAAGAAAAGTTAAAAAACTAGGTTTGGGAATCATGTCTCTTACTATTATCTCAACAGTGGTGAGCAGGATACAATGTGTTATCTGTAGATTGAAAATCCAAATCTAAGAGAAAAACACTCCAAATTTGGATGAAATACCAGGAACCAATTATCCCAGGGAGAAAGCAAATTCTGATTTCCATCTGCAGCCAACAGAGCTTATTTTATTTTTCCAAGCTATCTGAAGGAAAGATCTCTGAATTCAAATTGCAAAGAGAAAGCACTCCGTCTCTTATCAAAGCAAGAGAGAGGAAGTTAACAGCCCTCAAATCAACAATCCTCCATGAAAGAATGGGGTATAGAAATCAGTATTTTTGACTACTTAAAGTAATAATTTTGATGGAAGTTGGACATTGGAGCAGACCCAACCACTGTTTCCCCCCAGAATGAGGCAAATCCAAATAATAAAGAGCAGAAAAGCAACCCCTGCAGCAGCTCAGGGGAAGATTAAAGACTCTATTTGAAATTTTTCATCCAGACAAACAAGAACTTCTTGACTAAAATGAAAACTTGAACGGGAAATGTGAATCTTTGCTTCTTTTCTCCGTTCCTTCTTCAGGATAAGAGTTCTGATCAGTTTTGGCATCCTAATATCTTTTTCAAAAGCAAAGAAGTGCTGCTTGCTTTTCTCAGAGCCATTCTTTCATCCAACTCTCTATATGTTTACTGAAAATGGTTTTAAAGTGAATGCTCTGTTTCAAGTTTAATTAATTAAAGAACAGACAATGAAATATCCGCCAAGAATAGTTCTAATTTTTCAAAACTAAATGGCAGGGGGTTGGAACTGGATGATCTCAAGGTCCTTTCCAACCCAAACCATTCCATGATTCTATGAGATAGAGACACTAAAACAGAGCCAAAGGCCTGTACACTACGCTGAGTGTGCCAAGCCATAAACTCTGTGATGAAAACACAGCCATGAACCACAAGGGAGTTTGACTTCAATGAGATGGTGCAGCAAGTGTTGGAGAAACCATTAATGTTAATGGATTTGCTCCATGGCTGTTTAGCATATGATCAGGAAAGGCATCTCTTCACATCCTTGGTCCATAGGTATGAGGGGAAAGCCAGTGAAGTAGCATGAGTCCTATGGGGGTTTTTGAATGTACTCAGCACCCTGTCTTTGTGGATCCCTATGCTTAGTGCAGGGACAATAATGGGGATTCATCTAAGGAGTTCGTTAACGTTCCTGGATGGCCACAAGCTTTGAACATGCTGCAGCTCCAAGCAGGCTCTGCTCTCCATGTCTCCACAACTGCCATCAATGAGAGGTCACCTCTGCAAGACTCAAATGAACCCAAAGTTTTCTGTTGCCTCACATTTGCAGGGCCTGCTTGGTGGCAACGTGTCATGTTGTGATGAGTGTGGCCACTGTCCACATAACTCCTGCCTTAATCTGCTCCAGAGTATGAACATCAGACCCCAACCAGATTCCTCAGTGGAGTGAAAGGAAGACTTTCTGCTGGTTGCAATGAGCTGGACATGGGACTGAGCTACCTCAGAAACAGCAGCCTGTTTGGAACACAGCCCAGCACCTATCTGGAGCTAGTGAAGTTAGAATTAGGAACAAGGATGTGCCCAGGTGGAGGCATTTCACACACAGCATGATGGGCAGGGTTCCTTATGTGCCTTTGCTGCATCGACAAGGGAACGTGGACTAAGTGATGGCTGTGTTCCTGGTACCAAAAGTGTCCCTGGGTTGTTTAATTGCTCCTCAGGGAGCTGCTGGCTCCTTCTGGAATAGGGGTGCATTCTTTCTAATAAAAGCTGTGCATGTGGGGATTGCTAATTGCTATGGCTTTCAGACAGCTCTCCACTCTCTTCTGGAAGAGAAGTTCTTGGCACAGAGTTGTTAGTAATTATATCAATTATACTAAACAAAAACCAACCCAACAGTTCTCTCCTTTCTTCAGTGTGTGACTCTGGCTCCGTAAGTGTTCTGTGTTATGATTTATACCTAAGATAATTGGTCCGATTAGTGGGTAAATGGGACAGCACAGGCTGGGGCTGGCTCCTCACCTTCCGCAGAGATGTTTTAATCTTTATTTCACCAAATCACTCGGTTTTCCTTGCAAGGATTAACCCGTTCGTTGCTTGCAGAAGGAAGATTCCTCTTCCATGAAGCTGCTGGATGGCTTAGAAGTGGGACTTCATCCTGCACCTGCTGCTGAGCAGTGCTGTAGGTCTGGAGAGCGGATCACATACACTGCTCTCCAGATCTTAGAATCAGAAGATCAGGCAGGTTGGAAAAGACATTTAAGATTTTTCAAACCCACCCCTTCCCTTGTCTACCCAGGGTGTGAACACTTGCAGGGACGGTGACTCCAGCACTGCCCTGGGCAGCCTATTCCCATGCCTGAGCACCCTCTGGGCAAGGAATTGTTCCTCGTCTCCATCTAAACCTGCCCTGGGGCAGCTTGTGTCCGGTTCCTCTTGTCCCATCCCTAGTTCCTTGGGAGCAGAGACCAGCCCCCTCCTGGCTCCATCCTCCTGTCAGGCAGTTGCAGAGAGCGATCAGGTCCCCCCTGAGCCTTCTCTTCTCCACACTAAACCCCCCAGGTCCCTCAGCCCTTCCCCATCACACTTGTGCTCCAGGCCCTGCACCAGCTCCGGTGCCCTTCTCTGGCCCCGCTCCAGCACCTCAATGTCTCTCTTGCAGTGAGGGGCCCAGAACTGACACAGGGTTCGAGGTGCAGCCTCAGCAGTGCCCAGCACAGGGGGACAGTCACTGCCCTGGCCCTGCTGCCACACTGGGGCTACGATCAAAAGCATTCCTAGAAGGAACCAAGCAGGTGGGGAAGTCCATTTCTAATGAGAAAACCATCAGAAGAGGATAGTCCTCCTTCCCAGTGTGCAGAAAATAAGGCAGTGCAATCAGTGCAGCCATTCAGGAGTTCAGGTGGTGGTGGGGGGTGTGCAGTTGGCAGAGCAAGTGAGCATGTCTTAAGTCTTGTATTAATTCTAACAGGTCGACCTATAATCTGAGATCTTTAGTTTCCTGTGCCACAGACCCAGTGGTTTCTAAGAACTGTCTTGTTCCAATAACTGCTTCCCGAGTGTATCAGAGGGTGGACACGTGTGTTTCCTAGACATCTATAAGCACATACATCCTGCTGTCTGTTACAGGACTGGCAGAAGTGTGCAGCAATGGATAACCAGAAACAGTCTCTCTATTCCCTAACAAATGTGGTGCAAATCTCAGGCTGTGACTGGCAGGAGCAACTTCACCCATATCTTTCCAGTTCCTTCTGGATGTGGAGCATTTGCAGGGAGAGCAGACTGGAAACGATAACAATGCACAATGCCATGATCTCAGGAAATATCCAGACTTCTGCTGCTGTGCTTCCTTCCCTGCACACAGTAGTGCCAATAATAGCAGGCTCTGGATGCCTTAGACAAACTATGTGCAGTAACCTGTCTGCAGAACAGGCTCTCTGGTGTTCCTCCACTGCTCACAGCCAAGTCACAACACGACAGTGGAACCTCAAGCTCCAATCCACCCTCCCAGTCTCCATAAAGTTGGAGAAAACTTGCCACCAAAGATCACATGAAGCACTGGGTGGTTCTGAGCTGGGCTGTGCTCTCTCTGAACTGGGGAGCTTCTCTGCATCTTGATTATATGTCAACAGCTCAATGGAGGACACAAGGAAGGGACTGGCTGGAGTCAGAGCTGTGACCCTCGAAGGAGTGAGGACCGACCTGGCAGCAGTGGGAGGAGGAGCTGGTGGCACAAGCCTTCCTGAGACCACCCCTTTCTTGGGGAGCAAGGTACTTGCTGTCTTCGCTGGCCCCAGCGTGCATGTGTGCCGGCTGAACAGAGCTGATCTCACCAGAAATGTCTAATTGGTGCCTTCAGGCAATCATGTCTCTCTTCCTGTCTGAGTTTATCTTGAAAGGCTCGATTCAGTTACCTCCTATCCCCTAATAGGATCTAAGTTCCTTGTAGTAACATAAGAAGGAGATGATGTCACTGCAGCTAAACTTCTCCGATAACTTACTAATGACTGGGGCCAACACCTCAGGTCCTTTCTCAAGCAAAACTCCCAGACACACTGAGTCAGAACCTGGCTTGTGAGCTCCTGGGGAACTTGCCGTGCAGCAACCTGAGGGCGCAGGGAGGGAGGATGGCTCCAGAACCCTGCAAAACATCCTGCTCAA